ATTTCACAAACACTGGTGCAATTAAATAAATGTCAGAGGAATTTTATGTTGAAGTATGTATAGATTATCCATGAATAATCATATGCAGGGATAGCTCAGTAGGTAGAGTGGTTGCCCCATGATTGGAAGGTCGGGGGTTTGATTCCCCTGAACGGCTACCCTGAGGTACCCCTACGTCCCTACACAGTGCTCCTCGGTGGCTGCATTGGTGGCTGCCCACTGCTTCACTGGCTGAATGGGTTAAATGCAGAGGAGTCATTTCCCTATGCGGACTAACACAAGCGCGTACACATTTTTAAGATAAAATGATGTGTGACACCATTTTTTAATGCATTTTTAATCAGTCAAAAATGAACTTTTCATTGGAGTGTGGTGTGGACTTAGTGGTGCTAACAAGTGGCGTACTTCACTCAAAAATGTAACGCTAGCCAATCATCGTGGGTGTGACATGATTCATGCAGCCAGACCTCCAGCATCCGTCTGAATATTTTAGAATGACGAGACATTAAAACAGTGTATGCTGAAACTATATCCAGGTTTTGTATCGTTGGCGTTGTTGCTCACACGCTGAGAGTGGTGACATTTGCTTTTCTGACAGCTGTGTGTTTCTTTCTTAGAACAAGGGCGATCCTGCGTCCTCTGGCAAAGTCAGCACAGCTGAACAGTACTTTGACAACTCGAGAGTAGAGTGTGCCACACAGGCTTGTCCTGAACTCTTAAAGAAAGGTACATACATTTATTTTTCAGCATTGCATAACTTTGAAATTGCTTGCATTTCTCATGAGAAGCGGTGTTCCTGTCTAATGCGAGTGTTTCCTAATTATAAACAGATTTCCAGTCAATGTTTCCTGAAGCTCCATCCTGTGGTATGATGGTTGTCACGGTTACCCAGAAGACGCAGAACGATATGGCGTCATGGTCTGCTGAGGTGGAAGATGAGAGAGAGCAGATGCTTGACAAGGTTAAATGCTGTCTGTAGAACAGTTAAGCTGTTTTACATGTCTTACACTATAATAAGACGTCACAGGGTTTCTCCCTACATTATCACAGCAAGTACTCAGAATAAATAAATGTAAGGGTTATTTTAGAAACCTTTTGGAACAGCTAAGCACTGCAAATATTAGAGGTCTGTAAAAGAAACACCGATGATGAGCTGAAGAGTTTATTAGAAAAGCTGTCCACCTCTGGAGAACTACAGAAACTGTGCAT